AAAAGTCTTGTCAAGCAAGAATTCTATATGCAGCATAACTGTCCTTCAAAAATTAAGGAAAATTAAATTATTACCAGGTAAACAAAAATTTGAGAATTTCTTGCTAGCAGACCTTCCCTACAAGGAATTCTAAAGAGAATCCTTCAGGCTGAAATGAAAGGACACTAGATAGTAACTTAAATCCATACAATGAAATAAAGAACACTAATAAAGGTAACTATATAGGTAAATAAAAAGATAATGTAAACATATTTCTGATTGTAATGTAAACATATACCTGATTTACAAGAACAATACGTGTAGTAATAATTATGTAATTGTGTGGATAGGCTTATAATGTATACAGATGTAATTTGTATGAGTATAACTATACAGATGAGTGAGGAACCAACAAAGGTATATAGGAACAAAATTGTTTCATGCCATTAAATTTAAGGCGGTATTAATTTGAACTAGATCATTTTAAATTGTTAATTGTAATCCAACTTAGAAAATAACTAAGGAAAGCATCATTCAAGAACAGCAAGAGGATTACTGGAAAATATCTATGATATACTAGAAAATATCTATTTAACAGAAAAGAAGGCAATAAAAGAACAAAAAAGGCAAGAAACATACAGAAAATATAAAAAGCTAGATGCAAATCCTACCTTATGAGTAATTACATTATTGTTAAATAGACTAAACAATCTAAATGGATAAAAACGGATTTAAAAAAACCTCCATGATCCAACTATATGCTATCTACAATAGAAACACTTTAGATTCAAAGACACAAACAGGGTGAAAGTAAAAGGATGGACAAAGATCTATCAGGCAAAAAAAAAAAAAAAAAGGGAAAAGAAAAAAGACAATAGACTGAGAAAAAAACATTTCTAAATATATAAAAGAAAAAAGGATTAGAATTAAAAAAATAAATATTCAAGACATGAAAATTATATACGTGTGTGTGAATGTGCACATATACATAATACTTAATACTTAAGACATGAATACAAACTTCACAGGGTATGAATTTCAAAAGTCTAGTAACACGAGAAAACATTTTCATTAGAAATCAGGTAAATGCAATTTAAAACAAGGAGGTATTACCAACAACACAATGTCAAAAATTTAGAAGTTTGATACTTTCATATTCCACTGGTATGGGGATACAGTGGCACAACCATTTTGGAGGGCAATTTGGCAATATCCCTTAAGACATTATGACCTGCATTTCTATATTACCTTCATTTCTGTGTACAGACCTTAAGGAAACCCTTATTTTTGTACATAAGAAGACATGTACAGAAATGTCATTTCTGATGCATTCCCTACCAAAAAATGTGGAAACAATCAAATAACCATTAGTTAAGGAATGGCTAAAGCATATGTATAACTTCATAAAGTGTAATTTAAACTACTATCAAAAGTAGTTTAAAATTATGTTTATATGTGCCTGTATGCATTTAATCTCAAAACATTACTATAAGGAGAAAAAATTCCAAATAAGAAGTATGGTACTATTAACATAAAGATTCATATAAAGCAATACTCCATATTTTAATATAGAAAAAAATCTATACACACATATATGTCAAAGTATGAAAAAGATCTGGAAGAATGCACTCCAAACTCCTAACACAGTAGAACAGGGTAAAAGTTAAAGGGGATTCTGTCTGTAATATTCTAATTCTTTTAAAATATATTATATTAGTTGTATAATTTTTAAAATACTTAAAATGTACAAATTTCCTAATTGGAATATTGGTATTATACTGTGGCTCTCTAGACAGATTTCTGGATATGTGTTCCAAGCTACAAACTATTGGTGTACCCTCTCACTTCCTTAAAAGCAACTTGACAATAACCAAAAAGGTATTTTCTCTCATGTGAGGCAAACCAGACAATAATGACATCTTTCATATGTTATATTTAGCAAAAGTATGATCAGAAAATTATGCATTTAAAATAATTCTATAGTGGTATTACTGAGGAAAGGGTTTTAAGAACATTATATCTCTTTTTTCTTTATTATCACACACTTCTAGTGAAAGCAAATGATACCAAATTCAATCTAAATGAAATTATAAAGATTAATAGCTTTTGCTGTGCTACTGAGAAAAACTAATATTGGAGCTCTAATTTAATAAAAACATGATACACATACTTGTGTAAATGTCAAAAGTGTGATCTTGTATCTTAATTGAAAGAATAAAAAGTTTGCCAGGATAGAAGAAAGAGAAGATACATTACTATTAATGCTTGATTTTCCTTGTTTAAATTAAACGGTTTTTGAATTCTCCAAAGAATATTTAAATACTATGCTCCCATGTTAAGAAATATGAATAAGAAGGAAGGTAATAAAGAGCTGGAAAATATGTGCATTCCTAAGTTTGGTATAAACAATTTTAAATTATTCCTCTATTATAAACAATTTTTAAATGTTTTACAATAATTTTTCTATTTTTAATATTTATAGCTATAAATCACCATTCAATAGTAGTTCTTCCAAGTTATCAGGATTTCGAGCAAGCTGCAAGATCAAAGCGGAACCCCGAACCTTGTCAGGAATATCTTCATATAATAATTCAATGTATTCATCCATGTCATTAATATTAGCAACTTCATCAATCTGAAACAAAGGAAGAGGCGGGAAATATT